GGTGCGTGCACCACCAGCACTTGCAGCGCTGCGGGCGTTCAGGCAACCGCCGTGCCGCGAGACCACCAATGGGCTATGGCAGAAGTATCGTAGCATGGTTTCATGTGACTTTCAGCTGCTCGATCAACCCGTGATATGCGGCACGCGCGAAGGAGACCCGGTCTTCCAGGTTGATCACAAAATGACGAACAGCTTTATCTTTTGAGACATCACACGTGAAGCATCGATCTAATTTAGATTCACAATCAATCCATATCACACACACCCGACCTCACGTCGAGGCCTCCACCACACACACCCTCCCGCCGTTGATCAAGGCAGCGCTGTCCACACTGCCCTTTCGATCGTAGCTATGCAGAACCACGCATTTACCGCGCCATCTGGCTCGCGCACCGGTGGCCTGGCGCGGTCAGGCACCTCTGCGCGTCGCTCCGCCGCCGTATGCCGCGCCGCCGCCACTGATCGTGTCAAGCTGGGGGGATCCGACCTGGAGGTGTGTGGGGGCCCGCCGTGACAACGTATCCCTTTGAATTCTGCCTACTGCGGAAGCAGCAATAGAATGCCCAAACATATGCACCTGCTCTGTTGCCCTGTGCCATTTGGTAGCATCGCAGCTCCCTTGTTCCACAAGGTCGCGATGCAGCACACAGCAAACGACCGCATGCCTGCCCCTGGCCCTTTCACCCCAGGTGTCCACCTGCTGCCTGGGTACGATGACGTGGGGCAAGCAGAACACAGAGGCAGAGGCGCACGAGCAGCTCAGCTACGCCTTTGACGCGGGGCTCAATTTTCTGGACACCGCCGGTGCGCGCGAGCCGGATCATGCACATTGGCAGCTGCACGGCCGTCGGCTCATGAGGCGGCGGCTCAGCTTGAGGACGGCCGGATGGCGCCGGCACTTCCCTCCGGGCGCCTGCATGCAGCCTATTGAGGAGGCCTGCCGGGGTTGCCAACAGTGGCGGTTCTCGCTGCCCCCACCTCCCTGTCTTCAAACATCCCCGCTTCCATTCCCTCACCCCCATCACCAGCCACCCCTCCGCACCCTGCTCACCCCCCCCCAGAGATGTACCCTGTCCCTCCTGCCAAGGAGACCCAGGGTCGTACCGACCTGTACATTGGCAGCTGGCTCAAGACAGGGCGCGTAAAGAGGGAGGACGTGGTCATAGCCACCAAGGTGCGCTTGATTCCTGAGTTTTGGGGGAAGTATGACATGTGCTTGCATGACACACTACTCCCAAAGGTACGGCTGCATGCATGCATGCGTGCGCATGTTTGTTTTGTGTCTCTGTGTGTGTGTGTGTGTGTGTGTGTGTGTGTGGGTGTGCATGCAGGAGCATGTGTGTATGTGTGTGTGTGTGTGTGTGAGGTGCATGGGTTGTGCTAGAACGTGTGTGCATGCACGGCATGCCTCAACGAGACCATGGCCAATCATGCTTGACGACATGGCGAGCAACGTGAGAAGCAACTGTCCCTGAATTGTAAGGGTTCCAGCCGTTTCCTCCTTGGCCACCCTTCAGCACCAATCCTTGTGTTTCATCATACTACTCACCCATGGTGCATCAAGCTGTGCACTCTCACCTGTCCAACCTCAACAGGTCAGCGGGTACAGCGTACAGAACTCGTACGTGCGCAGCCCTCCTGAGACGACGCGTGTTACCAAGGCCCAGATCAAGGCCAGCGTTGACGCGTCGCTGCAGCGGCTGGGGGTTGACCATGTTGACCTGCTGCAGATCCACTGGTGGGGAAGGGTTTGTTATCGTGGGGGTACAATTGTGTGCACTTGACATGTGTGTGTGCGTGTGCATGTGCGTGTATGTGTATGTGTGTGTATGTATGTACAGACAGTGCATGTCAGCTCATGAACGTGTGCCAGAGCGTGGGAATCGTCTCAGCATGCACAGAGCGCGCTTGGTGACCCTCAACGAGGCTCCTCCTAACATGCGCCTGCAGGCCGGACCGCTACGTGTCGCTGTTTGGCGCCCCCACCTACGACATCGCAAACGTGAGACGTCAAGGGCGTCGTTATTCCTGTTGATCAGCAGCAGTACGGCGGCCAGCATCTAGGGCGTGGCTGCTGGTCAACCATGACAATCGCACACAGGCAGCGGGCAGCAGACATGGAGCTGCGGGCCCTCGCAGAGCAGTATCACCCCCGCATGCACACGCGCATGCATTGTCGTCTCTGCCACCTGTGCCCAGCACAAGTGTTTACTCCTCCCCGAAATCCCCAATCGTGCTTGCTAATGTGCGCCTTTGCCTCAAAGCTTGGCATGTGCCGTTGCTGCCACTGTTGCTGCCACCACCAGGAGCGCGAGGGCGATGTTCCGTTTGAGGAGCAGCTCAGGGGCCTGGAGGACGTGGTCAAGGCCGGAAAGGTGGGGGGTGGGGCTGCTGGTGTCGTTGCAGGCACGATACCTGCTGTGTCATCCAGGGAGGGTCGAGACGGAGGAGGGAAGCTGGATGGCATGGGGAGGCTGCAATGCTCCGGCAGGGGGGGCTGTCGGTGCCGACGGGGTTGTCCTTCACGGCTATCCTGTGTGTTGCTTCAACCTTGTGTAGCAGTACATAACGCTCCCTCCCCCAAACACTTGCCACCCTGCCATACAACACCCCACCTCACCGGCCCCCCCCAAGGTGCGCTACGTGGGCGTGTCCAACGAGACCAGCTACGGCGTGTCAGAGTTCGCCTGGGCTGCCAAGACGCTGGGGCTGCCCAAGATTCAGACCATCCAGGTGTGAGATTGGGGAGGAGATGCAGGGATCCAGGGATGGAGACGCGGGGATAAGGTCACTGTGGTGCGAGCAGGTGGTGCGAACAGCGGCGGCAGAACCATGTGGTGGGGCTGGGCGCGCGTGTGGTTGTGTGGTGCCCTGTAGCCGCTGCATTGACATGGTGACCCTTTTGGCACGGTGAGTGTGCATGCTGCGATGTCAAGCGAGCGGGTGGCGGCCTTGTCGATATAGTTGCCACCCTCGCCCAAGCACCCCGTCGTCCTGCCAGCGCCATCTGGCACCGCCCCACAACCATGTTGCTCCGCCATCCCTATGTCGCGCAGAACTGCTACCACCTGCTGTGCCGCACTGCATACGAGACGGACCTCGCGGAGACCTGCAGGTGAGTGACATGTTGTTTTGGGGGGAGGCAAGGCGGCGCTTGCTTGCATGGACAGTGCCAGGGGCGGTACTGAAGGCAGGAGGGAAGGGCAGGGGTCCGATGCCATGGTTTGGGCTCTTCAAACTTGAAGGTGAAGGACGCTGGCTCGAAAACAACCACGGTTGACAAGGAGTCGATTGGTGCGGCTCTTCATGCATGCGGTCCTTCCTGAAACCTCCCTCTTGAAAGCCCTCCCTACCTCTTGCCTTGCCGTTCACCTCCCAACCACTACCACCCCGTGCCATGCAGGCGCCACGACGTGAGCCTGCTCGCCTACAGCCCGCTGGCGGGTGGCGCGCTCTCCGGCAAGTACCTGACCCGGGACGCGCCCAAGGAGGCGCGCTTCAACCTCTTCCCCGGGTGCGCAGAGGGTGGGGACGGGGGAGTTGCGGAAGGGGCTCCAAGGGTTGCGCCTGAAGCTGCTCTGCAGCAAGGTCACGGGGTGCTCTTTGCCTGTTGGTTGCGCGCACCGCATGGGAGGCTCCGCTGACAGCGTGGTGCCGCGCGCCAGATATTCTCTGCAGCATCACAGGCATGCACGTCTGCGGTGCGAGACGAAGGCACTGGTTGCGTGTTGCGACGCTGCGAGCGCGCCACTTGGTCTGGCCGCGTGCCTGCCGGCAGGTACATGGAGCGTTACTACCAGAGCCTGGCCAGGAGCGCGACGGAGGAGTACGCTGAGCTGGCCAAGAAGCACGGCCTCACGCCCACGCAGCTGGCCCTGGCCTGGTGCCGCTCACGCTGGTGGGGACGCGTGAGGGGTGTCAGTGCCTCCAACTGTGACGCGTTGCGGGCTGCGGTTGACTGGCAGATTTGCTGCGCCGTTGTGGCGATGATGTCCCTGCCGTTTGGGCACAACACCAGGATCACGCCCCTTGACATGCCCCCAACCGCGCCAACCCCACCCCGCAGGTTTGTGAGGTCGACCATCATCGGCGCCACCAGCCTGCCCCAGCTGAAGGAGAACCTGGATGCCTTCAGCGTGGAGCTCTCGCCAGAGGTGAGGCCGGCCCGCGCGGCAGCCTGCCAGGGGTGGCGGTGGGGCAACGAAATGAGTGCAGGGGCCAGCAATCGTGAACCGGCCTTGCTTGGGCGCGAGGATGTGCTTTCCAGGTGTCCAGGGTGGGGCTGACTCCTCCCGCGGCTGCGCGCACTTCAATGACCCACTCCAGACACCCCTTCTTTGCACGCCTTAATTACTGCTGTGTTCCTGCCAGCGTGCTGCTTGTTGCCTGCGACACATCCACCTCCACCACCCCCCTTCAACCCCGCAGGTCATCGAGGGCGTCAACCAGCTGTACAAGAAGTACAGGTGGGCAGCGGTCGCGCCTGGGCTTTGCAAGCCATGCAGCTGCCCTTCCACACCTTGGTCAGCGCCGCGCAGCCCGACATTCTGCCATGCACTTGCATCTGACCGATTAGTACGCCAAACGCTCCCATCTGCAAACAACAGGGACCCTCCCACCAGCGCATGATGAGGCGCATGGCACCGTGTGGCAGCGTGGAATTCAACCAAATGTAAAGCGCCCCAAGGAAAAAGTGCACCTTGCAAATGATCTTGCCGCCGATGAGATGTCAGCAGCCAGCCCTTGATCCAGGCACGCCATTGGGCCGTCCCTGCCCATGGTGTGATTGGATTTGCTGGTAGCTACAGGACATGCTTCCGGTCCGTGTTCCATTTCCTTGGTGGGAAAGTGGGAGCTGGGCGGCCAGCGCGCCCGGCACGGATGGAACACCACGCGGTGCTCTGGTGCTGGCACACGCGCCTTGTGTTTGGGGTACACTACTTACACTTACGGCCTCCTGAAGCAGCCTCACCACCCATAAACTGCAAGGCCTGCCGCGGGCACACTCAGCGAGGTGGGCACTCTTCACGCGCGGCACCCGCATGCCCGTTAGCAATCGCGGCATATAGCATACACATTTGTCAGCTTGTGAGTCGCCCACCAAGGCCTCCAGGCAGAATCATCGCCGGGGCTTGTTGAGACCCAGGCCAGCTGCCTCGTCGTGCGCCGACGACTCCGCCCTCCTCCGACCCCCCTAGGATAATCAACTGCATACGAGCCCGCTCAGCTATGCCCGGCATGCAAGGGGGCGTTCCGCCACGCGTCGCTTCGCCGGCCCCGCTGCCCCCAAACGCTGCGAGCGCAGCAGCGGCGTTTGCTGGCTCTGGCATGTTTGCTTCCAGCATGCACACTTTTGTCCACGGCTGCTCTTGGGGCAGCTTCGGCAACCTTGCGGCTCTGGGCGGCTTTGGCAGCTCGGGCAACCTCGCGGGCATGCACGGCGGCAGCAGCGGCAGCAGCACGCCGACGCCGGCTTCCCAGCAGGCGCATGCAGCGCAGGCGACGCCGCAGCTGCTTCAGCAGCACCTCCAGCAGCGCGCGAAGCAGCAGCAGCTTGCGGCACAGCAGCAGCAGCAACAGCAGCCGCAGCACCTGCAGCAGCATGCGCAGACGCCGCCGGTCCCACAGCGCGCCGCCAGCAAGGAGCCCGCCCTCATCCGCAACGTCTTCAGCGAGCCGTCCTTCAGCAACATGTCGGCCTGAGCGGCAGCTGCCGCCTCATGCACGTGCTACGTGCGCTGCCGGCGCAGGCCTCATCGCAGGCCGCCGACGCCGGAAGCCGCCGCACGGCTTCTCAACCCGGGCAACGGGCAATGCGGCCATTCCCCGTTGGACCTGGGGCCCGTCGTCTGCCGCGTGCCACATGCTCACGATATTCTGAACTTGCACTGTTTTATTTCTTCTTGCGCGTGCGGCAGCCGACATGCGCCGCACGCAGGCTGCCCCGTACTAAGGGCCTTGGCTACATCGAAGCGCGCCCGCCGGCACGGCGCCCGCGGCTGGCGCGTCAGGTTGCGCCAGCCGCGGCGCAGCTGGGGCGCCGCGGCGCAGCTGGGGCGCCGCGTGCGAGCCGGGGCCTCGCCCCAGACTTTTGTTTCCCAGAGCTCTGGAATGGGCTCGAGGCTTTGGCCGCGGCTGCTGGTCCGCTCAGGATTGATGAGCGACAGCCGGCAGTTGCGCGCACGCACAGACGCAGCATGCGCCGTGCACGCAATCAACATTTTGAGTTGGGGTTACCGGGACCCCCACGCACTTACTCGTGTCCCCATGCCCTGATACGCACCGAGAGAGAGAGGGCGCGATGCAGCCCAACGCGCCGCGGGGGCTTTGGAGGCGCCGCCTTGGCAGGCCGCAGCCCCACCCCCTCGCGCGCGCGCTCGAGCGCGCATTTGTTCGGTGTCTCTCGGTGCGCCTTGGCATATTGGCCCGGCAGCCGCAGCCCCCGCCGCCGCCTTGCCATGCGCGTGCAGTACGGCGGGAGCCGCTTTTTCCACTTGTTCAAAGGCAGTTTGCCGCGCAGCAACCAGGGCTCCTGGCCCCTTTTCTTGGTTGGCTCAGCTCGTCAGTCGCACGCAAGATCCGCACAGAGCGCCTCATCAATTGATCTTGCGTGCTCGCTTAGTTCTGCAGCCTTTTTGGGCGCCAAGCTAGACAGAAGGGTGCCTCCCAGTGCTAGCAGAAGGCTGACGCTGTGCTCAGAGTACAGGGAAGGAGCCGCTGTGCGCCCCTGCCCCTCAGTTTGTGTCCTTAGAGGAGCACCCGGCGCCCCTCTGCTGGACGGTTGGCTTGGCCCCGCGCCCCCTGCCTTCACGCCGCCCCCCCTCTCCCACCCCTGCGCCAAACCTACGAGGGGAACGCGCAGCTGCGCCACCTTTGAGGCACACACACGCACTGTTCAGCACCCGCTTCCCATGCGCCAGCATGTTTCGTGTGCCCTGCCTGCCTGTGACGGAGCAGCGCGCGCCTTTCATTCCCCGGGTAATAAATCCTGCTCTCGCCTTTGTTTCTCTGCACACTGATTTGACAGCCAGCAGGTTCCTGTCCAGCCGCAGACAGCACATTGGGCCGCTTCAGGCTGGGGCGGTTACAGCAGGACGCAGCCGTGGCGCTGTTTGCTCCACACCATGGTAACATCATGCTGCCTGCCCGCCGCCCGTGATCCTGGACACGGCACGCCAGCTGCCCCCCAAGTCAGGCATCCACAGCCACACCTCGGGCGGCGCGCCCCCGCCCTCCAGGCTGCAGCCTAGTGCATTGCCGTGCGCCGAAAACTCCACCCGCCACGCGCGCGAGGGGTGGCGCAGCAGCGCGGCCCGCTCGGCCGACAGGGCGGCAGGGGTCCCCGTGAGCCTGAACACGCCGACCGCGCTGCCAAAGCTTGCGGCGGCGAGCTCGAAGGGGCGGCCGAGGGTGGGGGCCCAGTGGAGGGAGGTGGCGGGCTCGCCTGTGGGGGACTCGAGCTCACACGACTCCTGCAGGAAGGGGGGAGTGTGAGGCAGGTGGGCGAGGACCCAATGGCAGGTTATGCGGCGGGCCGGCCATTGGTCGATGCTGTATGCCTAGCCATAGGCCAGGGGCCCGAGCAGGGTCGTGCCTGCTGGCTCGTCGCTGGACGCGGTAGAGCTGCGTGATCGCGGACCGCTGCCATGATGAACAAGAGTCTTTCAGCGAGCAGCTGGGGGCCCCATGTGCCTGGTCTCACCCGCCAGAAGGCCTGCTGGTTGCACCATGCCTTGGCGCCATGCGCGCTGCCGGCCAGCAGCAGAGGCGGCACGCCGGCCGTGAAGCCGCGCCATGACAAGCAGTTGCAGGGCCCCTCTTCTGCCGCCTGAGGTGGAGATGGTTTGACGGGCGTGCCAAATACAGTCAGCAAGCTGGGGTGCATGGCACGTGGCAACATCAGCAGCAGTCGCCGGGTGCCAGTTCCCCCCTGAATCATAGCAACGCAATCCCCCTAGTTGACTTGAGACACATGCATGCCTCTCACCTTGATTCGGGATAGCATGGTCCAAATCAGCCCCCCGCCGCCACTGCAGCCACCACTGGTCAACTCGCCACCGCTGTACTGTGCGTCTGCCGCCTGGGTCCCCTCGTGCACATAGACGCCGCCGTCGTCGCTGGCCGCCGCCAGCACAATGCCATGCTGCGCTGGAGCGAAAGCAACGTCTCTGGCATAGAATGGGAAGTGGGGTACCAAGCACAGTGTGGTGTGGTGTGTCACAGCAGCTGTGCCTTCAAGAGTGGCTGCCTGCCACGCAGTGCTATATCTCATCATTCAGCAACAAACTCTAGGAACCACACGCGGCAAGCATCCATTCAAGCCGACAAATGCTGCGGGGCCACACCTGACAAGCCCCCGCCCACACGCCAGCCGCCCGCTCTCGCGCCACGCTCCAGCTGCACTTGCGGTCAAGATATGCACGCTCCCGCGCGCCGTCGCCACCGCTAGTATCGTCCCATGCTCGTCTGGCGCCCACGCGGGCTTGACCGGCTCTTCTGATATCTGGTGTGCAGCAGCAGGCGCGGGGTCAACGAGAGAGAGGTGGCGGGCAGAGCGCAGCACGCTGGCGCACCACGAACTTGCCAATGCAGCAGCAGCTGTGGCAGTCAGGCTCCTCATCCCGCGCATGGCCCGGCTTACGGCTGCGCCACGCACCTTTGTCGAGTGAAGCAACAGAGGCTCGTCGCCGGCGCCAGCGCCGCTGCCGCATGCCCAAACTCGAACCGTGCCGCTGGAGCTGCAGGTGGCCATGCGATCGCCTGCCTGGCTGTAAGAGCAATCGACAAGGCGGCCACCGGCGGCGTCGGGTGGCAGCCGCGTCACCTGCATAGGTTGCAGCAGCGCCAGTGACGTGTTGGCAGCAAGCATGCACCGAAATCCGGACTGCGGACCAAGCTCGCGGGTAGCAGAATGGCTTAAATTAGCTCTGCTTTATTGTCTGCATCTGCTCCTGACCTTTGGCACGGGTTCCATGCTGGCTCAAGATCAAGCAGCTACGTGATCTTGAAATTTGCTTGAGGGAAGATTAAAGCGCACGATTCATGAAATCTTCGTTCTACTTATGAATCGTAACATTGGCCTGTAGGCGGATATAAGCGTTGATCCACCCTGGGGGCTGCCTGTCTCACACACCCCGTACACGACCGGTCACTGCCAGGGCAGCGGTTGTGGTGCTGCCGCTGCAGGCCGGGCTCGACGACCAGCACAGCAGCCACGCATTGCTGTAGGCGATTTATTATAGATGCAATCATGCGGGCCCCAGGCGTGCTTAAGCCCACGGGCAGGTGTGCTTTGCGCAGCAGTTCGGGGCCTCGCCCTGGCTTTGAGCCATGGCCAGCAGCCGATCCAGGCCCACTGCCCTGGGCACAATACCTGAACAACAGGTGCGTGCACGTAATGCCAGTTTTCCTCGCGGCATGCAAGCGTTGGTCAATATGGCCGCTGCAACTGCGCGTGGCGACAAGGGGTACCTTACCTTGAGCACGGAAGTACCCTGCGATGGCACTTGCAGACAATGATGCCGAGAAGGACTGATTAAAAGTAGCCAGCTGCATGCCACGCTATTGCATTGGCACTCTGCATGACAGTGACCAGCGGGGTGACATTATGCCCAACACAGCTGCTCGTAATGTGCGTACACACCTTCCCGCTCCCACTGCGGACGGCACCTTTGAGACTGATGTGGTGGTGGTAATACCAGCCAGCGGAAACCCAATGGCGAGTTCGAGGTGGTGGTCATCTCCAAACGCAGGTGCATCCCACAATCAGACATCTTCTTCTTCACGTGATATCCAGGATTGCGGGGGACTCTGGGGCTCAACGTGACATATGCACGTGATGTATGCATATAGGCGTGTGCAGGGTGCTGTTGAAGGCGCTTCGCCAAGAGAACTGAATCCATGTTAGTGCCGGATCCAAGTCAAGCGTGGGTAAGAGGCAAGTGACACTCGACTCTGCTGAGCTGCTAGCGCCCTGTGGCGCGGACGTGTATGGAGTGGTGCTGAACAGTGCAGCTATTGCTGAAATGGGCATTGACTGCAGCAGCGGCACGTCCCTTTCACTTGGAAAATCTCAAAATCAAGCCGGTGCAGCTCCTTACCTTCTGGACCTTTAGAAAGCCAGTTCACCGTGTGTCTCCCCCATTGAGCCGGCAGCCGGTTGACCTCGGCCACCAGGCTCACGGGACACCAGAGCCTGCAGCAAAACATGTTCGGGCGCACGCAAGGGAGACACCCCGTTCCAACGGCCTTGGGAGCAATGCTCTTGCTGGTTGACGGCGGAATGGAGGGCTCGGTCGTCCAGGCAGCGGCGAGATTGTGTGTAAAGCTACTCAGAAGACCTGCCCCAAAATAGATATGTGCCTGTGAGGCAGCCGTTGTCTGCGGGCGTTTTGGCGGGCCGACCACCGGTCCCGCGAAGTGATCTCGAATCAGGGACAAGGTGTACATTGGGGCAGAAATGCTCAATTGGCGAATTAATTGGGCAGCAATAATTGTTGAAAAGTCCTTCAGCGATGTTCCTGTGGCGCTAAACGTCATCAATCTCAATAATCCCCATACCCGCGCCATGCAGCCGCTGCAAAGTGATGCGCGGAAGGCTTGTATGCATGTGTCACAATCTCTAGGTGCCAGCAGGCTGGCACGCTGTGCATGGCCTTTGCGGGCAAGGAGGAGCATTGCGCGCCGCTGCTCGCCTGAACCGCCTGCAACACCGGCGCCAGGTGATTAGACACTGTTCTGTTGCAGGTTCGATGAAGGTTTCGCGCAGAAAGCATGGCGGGCATTTCCTAGTAGTTATTGGCTGTCAAACCCCTGAAATTCCGTCAAGCAGAGTGGGTGTGGCAAGGTTGGTCGCAGTTGAGAAAGTGGCAGCAGGGTAGACCACCAGGCACCCCAACGCTGCACATGGCACTGCGACGCACATATGTGCATCTGAACGCTGTCCAGCAGTCAATAGTCCCGCTCCCGCCCTTCCTGTATGCGCCGCCAGCGGAGTCCCTGCTCACCACAGCCGACACCGCTGCGGTCCTGCATGCCGAGGGCGTAAGCAATGGGGCGCCAGGGCGCAGCGGCTCAATAGACGCTGACCTGGACTTTGCAGTTGAGGCGGCTGCCGAGGCGGCCGCGCTCGCGGTGACGCCCGCCACTTCGCCCGGGGCGGCAGCAGCAGCGTCGGCTTCGGCAGCGGCGAACGCCTCAGCGGATGCGAAGGGAGCGTCGGTGGCAAGCGCGCAGGATGGCTCGTTCCTGGCTGTGCTGGGGAGGGTCGCAGCCCTGGCGCTGCCGCTGATGTGAGCTCGGCAAGCCCGCAGGGGAGAACGGGGTGCTTGCGCCAAGGCAACACATCCACACATCTCTGGCTTGGGAAGCGCCTGCACTGCTGCCGCCTGTCCAGCTTCGTGGCCGAAATCAGAAGGCAGCCTGACGCTGCAGCTTGCTGCGATGCCCAGAGTCTTAAACCCCACCCTGCTGTGGAATGCTTGCTGGCCACACACAATCACACGCATGCCATCACCCCAGACCAGCAGGCCTACAGACCTCTCCCCATCGCCCGGCGCCTGTTCCTCGGTTTTTGCTGCAGGGTCCAGAACGTGGCCGGCTACAGCATCAGCATCATCGGGGCGGTCTTCATCGGCCGCCTGGGGCCGCTGCTGCTGTCCGCCTCGGTGCTGGCCAACTCTTTGTACAACTGCACCGTGGGTCCCCGCAGGGGTTGGCGGATCGGGATGTGGGGCCGAGGCGGTTGCACGGAATTTATCCAAATGCGGGCTGATGCGGCACGCGCGTGCTGCGGCGGGGCATCGGATACACGTGGGGGGCTTTGCGGAAGCACTTGGGCCTTGAAGGACGCAGTGATGGGTAGCCGCGAGTGGCAGCACGCATGACGGCTCCAAACCTCCGTCCAGTGGCCGTCAGAGCAATTCTCCACCCCATCCTTGCTTCAGGGATTGTCCATTGCAATTGGCCTGAGTGCGGGGCTGGAGACACTCTGCGGCCAGGCCTACGGCGCAGGCAACTACAAGGCACTCGGTGTGTAGGGTGCGGCGGGGGCGCGGCGGCGCGTGGGCGGACGCGGCGGGGGCGCGGCACCCGCAGGGGAAGGGGGAGGATTGCAGCGTGGGGGGAGGCAGCACGGGCTGACAGTTGAGGGAAGTGCTTGCACCGAGGATAGGCTGTCCACGCAGGGAGCGCGGCCTGGAGAGCCATACATTTGAGGTTTGCACAGCCAAGCGCAGCAAAGCACCACCCCACCTGCGAAGCAAACCCGGCTGCTGCCAAGGTTTTTGGTGTGAAGCACCTGGTTTGCTCCGCACTCTTCTCTGCTCAGACCTTTTTTTGCTTTATTCCAACGGTGGCCCCCCTCCTGCCCTTCTCAACTCAGGCCTGCTGCTGCAGCGCGCCCTCGCCATCTGCGCCGCCGCCTGCGTGCCCATTGCGCTGCTGTGGCTTGGCTCAAACAGCGTGCTGCTCGCCATGGGCCAGGAGCCGGCGATCTCAGCCCTGGCCAGCCGCTACCTCATCTTCTGCATCCCCTGCCTGTTCCTGTCGATCTGCACGGAGTGCCTGCGCAGGTGAGGCAAAGTTGTCCCGTGTCGATGGCGGCGCCTCGCGCTCAAGACTGAACGCCGCGTCGGCGGGCGCGATTTGCACTGGTTTGACGCGATCAGATAGCGGCGATTACTTGCAGTCCCCGCTTTCTGCATCGGCACCGCCGCCATGGTTGCCGGCGTAGCATTGACCCGTTGACCGCCCCAGCTAACTTGGACCGCCGCACCTGACATCGGCGGGCTGCCAGGTACCTTCAGTCCCAGCGGGACGTGCGGCCGGCCATGATCATGGCCGCCACCGCCACCGCCGCCGCGCCGCTGCTCTTCTGGGCCGCCATCAACCGTGCCGGCTGGGGCCTGGACGGTGCGGCGCTCGCGTTCATCGCCTGCCAGACCATCCAGTTGACGGGGCTGGCTGCGTTCGCGGTGGCGCGGGCGCGGCGGCTGGAGGGGGACCCGCGGCAGACCTGGGGCGGGTTCAGCGGCGAGGCGTTCCAGAAGTGGGGGGAGTACCTCCATTACGGTGAGGCGCGGCGGCCGCTCTCAAATCATGAGATGGGCGGGCAGGGGAGGGGGCAGCGCTGCAGGACCAGGGTGGCCACCCCGGTCTGCTGTCGGGAGACGCGGCTCCCACATCGTGGGCCGAGCCCCGAGGGTCGAGCTGCACCTATTGCTTCATCAACAAGTAACGTCCTGCCGCACCCCCGCCACTTTGCTCCCGCACCTCCCCCGGACCTCAGCACGCCCTTGCCCTCACCCGCGTCCCGCGTCCCCGCGCCCAGGCGTCCCCGCCGCCCTGATGATCTGCTGCGAGTGGTGGGCCTACGAGGTCGCCATCCTGTGGGCCGGCCTCCTGCCCGACGCCGCGCTGTCGCTGTCCACGATGGGCATCTGCCTCTCACTCAACGCCTTTGTGTACATGCTGCCCCTGGGCCTGGCCTCCAGCGTCAACACCTCGGTAGCCAACGCGCTCGGCGGCGGCGACGGGGCGCGGGCGCGGGCCGTGTTCCTGAGCGGGCTGGGGCTGGCCGTCGCGCTGCAGGCGGCGATAGTCACCGGCGTCTCCTTCGGGTGGGGCGGCCTGGAGCGGGGCTGGAGCGAGGCCGGGCGGGCGGGCGCGCTGCGCGTGGTCGCAGACAGGGAGGCGGCTGTGGGTTTTCTCTAGGCCAGTGACGGGACTGCCCAAACGGCGACACGCCTGCGATGACCCTGACGTCGGACAGCCTAAATTGCTTCATGCCTCGTGCGCTCCCCCCTTTGAACCCCTCCGCCTCCCCCGCATCTTGCTTCCCTTGTGTCCCTCCCCACCCCCTCCTCTCGCCCCGTGACAAGGGGCGAGCACCTGATGCGGCTCTTCTGCAGCGACCCCACAGTCATTGCGCGATGCCTCGCGGTGTTGCCCATGCTGGTGAGAGCCGCCAGGATGGGGACTGGCAGGGGGTTCAGGGTTCAGGGTGTTGGGCTCACGCTGAACGCTGGACACTGGCATGTTCGTCCCGTCGCCGTGCTTGGCAGGACCTTAGGGTCGCGCCGGCTCCCCAACATGCATTTGAATTCTTGCCTGCCCCACCCCTCCCTTCCCGTTCACCCACTCCTTGCAACGACGCCACCTTGGCCCCCTGACATCATCCCCAACCCCTGCCCCCCTCCCCATTGACGGCGCCACCCCCAGTGCGCCCTCATCGCCATCGACGGCGTCATCGCGACGCTGTCTGGCGTGCTACGCGGCAGCGGCCGCCAGAAGCTGGGGGCCGCCATCAACTTCGCGGGATACGTGGGCACCGCCGCGCCGCTGCACGCCAGGGCTCCCCTGATATGCATGCCGCGGCCGCCTGCTCCCCTTATTGGAAATCAGTCAGGCGCACGCATGCATCGCTGCTTGACGTACGCACCCCTCCGCGGCCGTCTTTCTGCGGTGCCTTGCGCAGGATGATGGCACGAGCCGTACGCACGCACGCACAAGCTTCACCGCGCTGCCTCCGCCCGCCACCTCCCCCCGCACCTGCAGTGGGCGGTCGGCCTCCCCCTCTCGTGGCTGCTGGCCTTCCCGCTGGGTATGGGGGAGCGCGGCCTGTGGATGGGTATCGCGGCCGGGGCCGCGCTGCAGCTGGCGGTGCAGGTCTTCTTGCTGTCGCGGTGGGACTGGGGCAAGGAGGCGGCACGCGTGCAGCGGCGCATGGCCGAGGCGGCGGCGCGGGGACTGCCGCCGCCGGAGCTCGCAGGGGCACACTGATGCGGCTCTCTGCTTTTCCCCTGCTGTGCCACACGCCGTGGGCGTGGCGGCGGGGACTGCGGTCTGATGAAGGGCTCGTTCTTTGGCGCAGCGCCTCATGGCGTGCGCTTGTGCCTCATCCTCGAGCCTGGGCCAAGTTGTTTGCCCTGACATGGTGCTCTTGCTCCTGGACTGAGAGCGTTTGAGAGGGTGACGGTAGGAGCGTGGGGGATGAAGTACCGCCACTGCGGCCACCTCCACCGGCCGTGTGTGCAGGGGCCGAATTGGCGTGTGTGCATTGCATTGCATACGCAGGATTGCGTTCGCCGGCCAAGTGTCTGTTTTGCGACGTGTGTGCAGACCGCTAGCCGCCCACTTGGGAAGCGGCCCTCATAAGTAGATCTGGCACACGTACAGCGGCTGGAGCACACTTTGTTCTGCCAGGAGAGTGCATGCATTGTATGTGGTGCCTATAATGGCTGTGGCTATTTTTGCTTGGTTTTCCCTTCTCTGTTTGACAAGATGCAGGTCAGAAACCTTCCCAGCGTCGCTGCTCTCCAAGGGAGAGTCTGCACGAGCGCGGGCTGCTTTGGCACCGTTTTTTACACTCGCAAGCCCCAAACTCTCTGCCAATGATGCCAGCAGAAGCGACTGGCACACAGCAAAATGCAGCGGTGCAACAATTGCAATGACCTCGGCGGTGCCAACGTGACAGATACCAGTGGGGGCAGCTTTGCGCTCAGCATTTTTGCATGTGACAGCGTTGGGGATCACACCGTCCCGGAATGTAGGCGGCGCGGGTGGTCGTAGGATGCACAGTTGTGTAGGCGCGAAAATGCCCGATGCGCACAAAAGAATTTTCAGGAATGCCTGCCTGAGCCAATAATGGCCACCTGAGTGGGCCAGGTGGGCGTCGCTGGTGCCTGCAGCACTGCAGCCAGGAGCCGCGGGCCGCTGACTGGCCTCAACTTATCCGATAAGTCCCAGCTCGTGTGTCAAGGGCGCAAGCACATCGAAGAGCACGTACGATGGCACGGTATATGCGTGCATGGGAGAATGGCCACTCGCCACTTCCCAGAACAACTTTGTGCAGCAAGACTAACAGAATCGGCATGGTGTGCATGCCGAAATCAACCCGCAGTATTTGACTTGGCATTGTGCTGAAGCGAGGCTCGGCATCCTGCTGGAGTGACGCCTTACATCCCCGCAAGCGCCTTCGCAACCAGGTCGGCGGCAGCAGGCATGTGGCTGCCGACTGCATCCGTGGTGGCCCGCGCACCTCTCGTTTCAGCTGGGACCGCTCCCAGTGCGGGTTGTAGCAGGCAAAGCATTGTTTGATTGTGCCTGCCTATCAGCATGACCTGCAGGCACGGGCATGCAAAAGCTCTGCAGTGGGAAAATCCTAGGATCAGGGTGCAGATGGGTAGCAGCCGACGTTCATCCACTCCGCTTGGTCCAGCGTGGTTGCCATGGGGCCTGGACTAATCAACCTGCAACCAGCAGCTCTAGCTGTTCGATCAAAACAGCACGATGGAACCGCGGATGACAGCAGACGAGGCATTCCCTGGCTTGGGCTTGCTTGGAAGCCCGTGATTATCAAATAATTGTGCAGTCTGTGGCTCAGACAGGCGCTGCCTTCTCCCAGCTTCGCGCATCAGCCTTGGACTGGTCACCCAACGCCGGCAGGTACAAGCAACCACCTGGCGCTGATGAGTTCTTGGAAGGCGGCAACGACATGTGGACTGCACGCTTTCGTGTTCAAATAGCCGTGTGAGGTGCAGTAGCCGAGCGCGAGAGTGTGACATTGCGTGGTCCGCCTGTTTTACGAAGGTGTTTTGTCGACGATCTTGGTGTCTGATCTGCTACCCGACTGTCAGAAAAGCGCGGTTATTCTTTTGGGCATTCTGGAACCCCCCAGAGCCACCTGAACGGCCCTAGGACAGAGTGGTGCTCACAAGAAGTGAACGCAGCAGTCCCGCTCGCGGTGGTGCTCAGCTCGAGACGAAGATTTCCACTCTTCTATTTGCTACCTATTGCACAGCATACGTGCTTGTGCCAAGACTGTTGCACAACCTTCGCTGGCCAGCTGCCTCTCGCCGATGTCTGACAGAGGCACGAGCACGGCATATACGGCATGATACTTACTACAATTTCACGCAGCTTGGGGTCGGCGCTGCCGCGACGTTCCCCGCCGCGGCAAGCAGCAGCGCCGCACCTGCCGCTGCGAGCCTGGCGCCAGCATGGAGACGCCAGCAACCGGCGGCGTTTCCACACGCTCTCAGCAACAGCACCTGGCACAAATGGTGGCGGCGCCACCAGCGCCAGCAGCAATGGAGCCTCCTCCGGTACCGCCTCGCCGTCGCCAGGCATTGGCACAGGGGCGCACCAGCAGCAGCAACAGCAGCAGCAGCAACAGCAGCAGCAGGCGGCGGGCAGCTCGCCCTCGTCGGGTGCCCCTGCGCAGCAACCGCCAGGTCCCGGCTTTGGCGCATTCTTGAAGCCCATCTACATCCTGATCTTCTCCCTCATCTTCGTGGGCGGCATGCTGTTTGCCAGCATGTCGCTGCAGCTCACCAGTGACCTGGGCTTCGCCGACGCCTTTGCGCGCATCACGCGCCGCATCTTCCGCTCCATCGCGTTCCGGCAGCTGGTTGTGATCGCGGTGGCGATTTTCCTGGTGCGGTTCGCGCTTAACAACGTGCTGCGGGTGCTGGCCAAGTGGAGCAGCAGCCCGGTGCCGTGGGACAAGTCCAAGGTGTACTATGTCATGAAGGAGGTGAGAAACGGCGTGCCCGCGCTGTGCAGCACCCCATTCCGCTTGCATCACAATTCCTGATTGCGGCAGCAGCGGTTGCCCGCTGTAGCGAGGGTGGTAGCCTATGAGGGTGCATAGCAGTTGTTGGGCGCACTGCCCCTCCCATTCCAGGACCTCGCTGGATCGCATCAAGCGGCCTGCAATGCTCCTGTCGTGTGACCGGCAGCCAAGACCACCGTGGCTGCCAGGCTGTCGGTTGGCAGCTGAAGCATGCCAGCTGTGCTTTGATGTCTGCTGCATGCCCGGCAAGGCCTTACCCGCACCCGCACACAACAGTCTTCCCGCTGGCCTTTTGACTGTATGCTGACACCAGACTTTCGACCTTGTTCCCCCCTGGCAGGTCTACTCCCCTCTGGAGGTGCTCCTCTTTGTGGCGGGCTGCTGCACCATAGCGGACTCGTTCATGCCGCAGCTCATAGGCGTGCCCAAGGCCACTGTCAACGCGGTGGTGCGGGCGGCGCTGAGCATGAGCTTCGTGCTGGGTGCGGCCACGGTGAGCGGCGGCGCGGCTCAGCCCAGGGAGAAGGGGGAGCGTAGCCATTGGGTGTGCACTGCGGCTGAGGCGGTGTCTTTCATGCGGTTGCGGGGTCGGCTGTTGCGACGGTCTCAATGCGATTGGGGCATATGCAACACGCGTGGGAGCCCTCTTGCTTCTGGTGACGCCCTCGTCATGATCACCACGACCAACCGTTATCTCATTATGATGACATTTCGTGACATCACCGTCTCTCAGGTGGTGTTCAACCTGAAGAACCGCTTCTGCAAGGAGCAGGCGTGGCAGAGCGAGATGCAGGGCAACATCACCAGCCAGCGGCGGTGGGAGGCCTACGACAAGCTGGGGACGTTTGCCATCTACACCTTCACCATATTCCTCAGCATACAGGTGCGGCGGGCTGTGAGGCAGTGGCGGCGGCGGGCGCCTCGTGGCTTGGCCCCTGCGCAACACCCCTATCACCGCAACCCTGATGCACGCAGCGCTGATATCAGAGCGTGCGTCGCAACACACCACCTCTCTCCCCTGATTTCCAAAGGCGCTGGGGCTGGAGGTGCGCAGCGTGCTGGCCATCGGAGGCATTGGTGGTCTGGCCATCGGTTTGGCTGGCAGGGAGATCTGTGAGAACCTGCTCAATGGCTTCCTGCTCATGACCACGGTGAGGGGCGGCAGCCACACGGCGGATGTGCAGAGGGTCGAGCGGGTTGGTTCCCAGTGTTAGGGAGACAGGAAACGCATTTGACGGCCAGATGGGAGATGGAACGGGCGGCTATGTGCATGAAAGCATGGAGCTGCGGTGTGCTGCGGCGAGCCTGCTGATGCTGGGATGGACCTTGCAAGGCGGCCGCTGACAAGTGCAACCCACACATGTCATGCGCAGATGCCTTTTGAGGTGGGAGAGGAGGTGGTCTTCTCCCCCAACGGCCAGGTGAGAGCCATGGACTTTTTTGCAAGCGGTCGTTTTGAGGCATGGTGGAGGCTTGGACAGCCCTTACCGGCCACTTCCGGTACAGGTGCAGCGTTGTCGTCCGCCCACTGCAGTCTCGCCTCGTGTCAAGGCCCTCCAGAATTCGCTGTGAACACATCGGTCTTCTACCTCCTGCAACACACACACACACACACACACACACACACACACACACACGCACGCACGCACGTGCGCGCGCACGCACGCGCGCGCGCACACACACACACACACACAAACACACACACACACACAAACACACACACACACATGCAGACCGTGGAGGGAATCGTGCTGGATGTCGGCTGGTACCGCACCACAATCCGCTCCTTTGAGCGCGAGGTCTTCGTCATACCCAACGCCGTGTTCTCCAAGAACACCGTCCTCAACGTGACCCGCAAGATGAGGGAGTGGCGGTTCTACGAGTTCCTGTGCGTGAGGGTGCAGGACGTGCACAAGGTCAACGCCATCATACAGGTGGGGCCGGGTTGGGGGTGGGGGCGACTGATTTGGAGGGAGGCTGACTATGATGCGTGGCTTGCTGGTGCCCAGAGGGGCGGTCCGGGCCAGACTGCAGCTCTGCGCGGACACATACGCGGCGCGTGTCTGCACGGCTGAGCGCCTGCGTGCGGGAGCTAGGAGGCGGTGAGTCTAATCTGCAGTGTTCATGCCCGCTCTCCCACACAATGATCACGCGGCGCCAGTCCTCACCACCTCGGCACGCCCCGTCCTCGTGGACACCGCGCGCGCCCCCCAACCCCCCCAGGACATCCGCCGCATCGTCAAGAACGACGCGCGCATCATCAACAAGCTGCACCGCCGCGTCTTCATGGACAAGATCACACACGACGACGTCAAGATTTACCTCTCATTCTACGTGGAGGCCTCCAACCGGTGCGCCGCGCCACGATGATGCATGTAGCTTGCGTACGTCCATGTTCTTGTATATGTGTGCGCGCACGTGTGTGTGTGTGTGTGTGTGTGTGTGGTGTGTATGGGTGTGTGTGACTGAGTGCAATTGTGCGAGTTGAAGGAAAAGGGACGGCATTGACCATGTGTCGCACTCCTTGGTGCAAGTGAACGAGGGCATGATAATACACGGAGGCAAGTGCGAGGGCCTGTTGCCTGCAACGAGAGCCGGCGAGGGCACCAAGCGGCCTGCCTGCTGCCTGCTGCTCGCTGCAAGCGTCCGCACCAGCTGCCCGTCTCCAGGATGCACGAGCGACATTGGAACTTGGGCGGCTGGGTTGGCAGTGTTGACCCTGCCTCAGAGCGCCCCACCTGTCGGCTACCCACCACACCCCATCACTCGCCAACCCACCGGACTCCCAACCACCTCAACCGCCACCCCAGTGACGCGTTCATGGCTGTGAAGCAGGACCTGCTGCTGGCCTTTGTGGACTGCGTGGAGCGCAACGGCGCAAAGCTCGCCACGCCGCGCGCTGTGGTGAGCCACCCGGCACTGACCTGCACACAGCTTCATCCGGGAGGGAGCCCCCAGGGGCCGCCCACATCCCCTCAACGCACAGCTGCAAATGCCTGATCGTGCTTTCACAACCTCAAGTCCCCCGCCTCAACTCAACTTCCTGGTCCTCTGTCCAAGGTTTGCAGCTGCAAATGCTATATTTGACACATCTTGCCTTATTTACCCTGCCCCTGAAACCCTCGGACCCCAACGCCCAACCCCTCAACCCCAGCTTGAGATGGAGGACTCCCTGTCCCCCACCCTGGCCAGCATGTACGGCGGTGCCGCAGCCGCCGCAGCAGCCGCGCGCTTCAAGCTGCTGCCCGTCAGTGCGGTCGACGTGACCGCCTCGGCGGTGCCCTACTCCCCGCCCCCGCCGCCGCCAGCGCAGCCGACGGCTTCTGTGGACGAGGCCGGCGCGGCACTGGTCATCTCGATGGAGGAGGTCGGCGGGAGGGGCGACAAGGCCAGCGGCGACAACGGTGGTGGCAGCAGCAGCAACGGCAGCAGTGGCGGCGATGGCAGCAGACGGACTGCGAGCAGCTTGAAATCGGGGGAGGCTATCGCTTCACTTGATGAGAGCAAGGCACAGCCTGCGGCGCCGGCTACTGCTGGCCAAGGCGCGCCGTCGGCGGATGCGCCCACCATCGGCGCCAGTGTAAATGGCAGCGGGGGGCTTGGTTCAACCAACTGCGGCAGCAGCAGCAGCAGCAGCAGCAGCAGCAGCAGCGGTGCCAAGCCGTCATCGTTGTCATCGTTGTCAGGCACATCGAGCGGCAGCAATGCCTCGCCTGTCAAGCAGCCACAGCAAGAAAAGCAGCAGCAGGAGGCCAGAGCCCCCGCTTTAGTCGGTGTCGGCGTGACGGCGTCGTACGCGGCCGCGGGGGCCGCAGCGGCCACCCCCACTGCCCCTCCAAGCAGCAGCGCCGCTGCCGGCAGGGCGGGTGGTGGCAGCGGCGGCGGTGGCGTGGGCGGCGGCTCGTCCGTCAAGAGAGGTGGGTGCCGGAGCCAGTGCTCATTGCCATGAGTGGGTGTGCAAGCCGCTGGTCTTTGCTCCTGACTTAACCGCGGTGGTTTGCGGTGTCATGCTGCCCTTGAACTCCTGCCGACCCCGCCGGACCCGCCGACCCCCACCCCCAGGCACTGACGGTTCCCCCCGCACTGGCGCGAGCCCCGGTCCGGGCGGCGGCGGTTCATACCGTGTGGTCAGCAGCGCGCAGCCGTACGGCTTGTCCCCCGGGGCGCCCTCATCCATGGGGCAGCAGCAGCCTCGGGACGTGATTCTCGCGTCCTACGAGGAGATCGGGTCCGAGGTCTGATCCCGACGGTCCAAGGTCAAGATTTGACCCCCGGCACCCCTACATGCGCGTGCATACCGTACTACTTTCTTCCTTCTCTTGTCTCTCTGCTGCACCGTTTTGCAAACAAAGAAGCCAAGGCCGTGCGCGCCCGCCGGCCGAAGAAAGTCCGCGCCTGCACGACCAGGCATGTACAGCCGGCGCATGAAAGCTCCCTGCCAGGTGCCCCAACCCGGCTCGTGCCGCGCGGGGAGTGCCAGGTAACCCTTCTGGTTGCCAGGCGACCCTTCTGGTTGCCTCCGGCAAGGTGCGGCCGGCAGGGTCTGGCCACCATACTGAGTATGCGCCTGCGTACTGGTCCGCTCCGTTGTCCCCGCTTTTGCTGCAACAAGCAACGGCGAAGTAAAGAGAAACGAGGATACTGGCTCCGGCGCTGCGTGCCCTGCGGCCTTGTCGAAGCCCGCCTGGCCTAGCGAGCTTTGTGCACCAGATGGCACAGCGCGCCTGGGCAGCGGTGTGAGCTCGCTTGTGCTTGCGCGGTCCTGCCTGGATCTGTCCCCTCTCCTGCCGCACACCTCTCTGGGTCTATGCGGTACATTGAATGCTTGAAAGATACATGTCTGTGGCTCTTTTTCGTGGCGAAATGCTGCTTTTGACGGAGTGATAATCCGCAGTCCCGTTGATCGCGGCAGCCAAGCCGACGCACGCGGTTGTCAGGAGGCATTGTGAGGTGGAGCAGGCGCCCCGCCCCTCCTTTGTGCGTGGTTGGCGGGCTGTTGGCCCTGGCCCCCAAGCACGTTCAAGCATGCTTGCTTCTCAGCACGAGCGCTTTGACATGAGCTCAACAACCGCTGCTGCAGGATCCAACTTACATGTTGATGCAGGCTGTCATCTGACTCTGTGGCTTTGCCATGCAGCAGCCGTGGTGGGCTGCGGCGCTGTGCGACACCACAGCAGCCACAACCTGCCGGCATGCAGCATCGCTTTTGCCGAGCACACTTGCAGAGCCTTGCGTGAAGGGCACTGCCTCTCTGCCCCCTGCTGATGGGACACGGCCGTCGCACCTGCGAGCAGGCCGATGGCAAAGCAAGCTAGCTCAAGCCAGCTCACCTGCTTGCATGCATGCCGGCTTTCCCAAAACCTGCTTGCAGCCACTGTGGGCTTTTGGTGGGGTGCGGTGCACATGCATGGGTTTGAAGCAGGGTATGCAGCTTGTTTCCTTGCCCTTTTTGCACCCAATGAGTGCTGTCAAAGGCTTTCATGGGGCGTTGAACAGTGCCAACGTGTGCAAGGACGACTGTAAATTGTAATCCTCTGAGGTTTCCGCTCTGTTTATGGGTTGGTGGGGTGGGTGGGGCAAACAACTTGTTCCTCCCTGCTGACTCACCTCGGGCTGTGCTATGCCAATGCCATTTCTGTGAGAGTCACATTCCATCAACGATGTGCGTTGTTCAACAGACCGCCACTCCCCTCTACCTGCTATACAACAATATATTTGCCTTCCTGCCTCACACGCTGGCAGGCCCTACTACAGGCGTCAAGCCTGTGCCCACAGCAACGTTTCAGGCGTGTAAAGCTAGCAGTTCTTTGCACACACAGAATGCTGTATCACATATGTAACTCTGCTGCTTGATGTGACAATATGCTGTGCATCATGTGTGCAGTTTGTGCCAGCTCGCTGGTACCACCGTCATCAATCACTTGCCTACAAACTTTATGAGAGCGCGTCACTTCAATTGTTGTCCATAAGCTGCATCACGCCAAAAGACCATCAAGACTGCAAAGCTGATCCACACTATGGTTGTGGGTAATACCGTAATGTCATACTCAATTCTGATTTGTCGATATCACAGTATATATGTGCGGTAACACGATCTGGCAATATTTACAAGGGCATGTGCCTCACTTGCATATACACGAGACAAGGAGGCCAGCAAGTACAGGGCGCCAACCGCCGGTGGCTGGCGCAAAACAATGGACATGTTTCTACATCAAGTTTGCAAAAAGGGGGTGCAAGGATATTCAGAATAGTTTTCATACATGTCCCAACAAACCAACATATCACTTTGGGAAATACTCCAGCAAACTATCCTGTCCTACAACAGACTGCCGACGCAGGGTTGATTCAGCAGAGTGGATGCGCCGGCGCTGGAGGTTCGCTGCAAGCGAAGTGGCAAGCAGACCACTCATGGTGGTGCAGATTTGCAAATACCGCACAGGTACCCCGACAAAATGCACGCTGTCTGGCCTTGCTTCTTGTCGCATGAGCTGAGTACTCAGCCCAGGATGCCGCCCAGCTGGGAGAAGATGTTGCTCAGGAGGTTGAAGAGGGTCGTGTTATCCAGGATGCCCGTCAGCCCGCACAGCAGGTTGGCCAGGAGGGCCCCAGGACCGGTCTGACCGGTGATGGTCAGGATCAGCTGGTTCAGGTTCACATTGATGCCCAGCAGGTCAACAAACAGGGGGCCGAGGACGAGGTCCAGGATGTTGCACTGTTGTCAGGATGGTGGGGTGTGCGTGGGGAGGAGGGAAGGTAAAAGGGCATCGGGTCTGGAGAGCGCATCGGGTCTGGAAAGGAAGCTGCGGCAGATACAAGGTGGGGACAAGCATTGATCATCAAGAGCACTGCTGGCAGCCCAAAGCTGACAACTTTGGGATCACTGCGCAGTGGTGGTACCATATCCAGCTACGTAGCACAGGCTCAGCCTTGAGGCAGAATCTGCTTCGTGCGTACAGAGCTATGCAGGATGGCGCAGGTGTCGACAGTTTTGTGCGCAATTCTCTTCCATAAGATGGCGCATACACACCTGTGCGTTCAGGCGCCTGCCTCCGCTGACAGGGGTCAGGACAGCGTCGGCGACGGGCCAGTTAAAGGCCTTCGTCTTGGAGGCGTCCCTGACACTGGTGATGACCGTGGACAAGGCGACTCCCTTCACACACTTGGGATCCACAGCTTGGTCGCATTTGGCCACGCCATTGAAGTTGACCTTGAAAACCTAAGGATGGGGCCCAGCCGCAAAACCCCCATCTCCTGTATCTTGCGAGCCCAACAAACACTCCTGCATGCGCGCAAGTGAACGTTCTCACACGTGTGCATGCACATGCGCGCACACAAGATCCATCAATGTGCAACGTAAGTGCGCATGCATGCGTGCGTCCATGCATGCGCCTTGCGTGCAGAAGCAGCTGGCGGGCCAGTTGCGTGCAGCCATTCGGACCTCATTGTCCTGCTTGAACATGACGCCATTGAGCCAATTCTTGGCGCCGATGAAGCCACCCTGTGTGTTGTCGTCAGCCCCCGCCGGGCGGTCAGCCTTCGCAGGGGCAGCGAGGCCAGCAACCAGCAGGGCCACGGTCGCAACCGCCAGCAGCCCATGAGAGGAAGGACGCGGCATGGTTGCGGTGGAGTGTTGATTAATTATGTTCCCGTACAACGCTTTGAAGTTGTGGAACTTATCAAAGCTTGACGAGCTTTACTGTATGTACCCGTCAGCTTTCGACCGCGGCCACCGACACACAGTCGGACGGCCTGTGTGTCGCGATCCGGGTGGCCCTCACGTTATATCGAAAGGTATGCCAAAAGTTTTTGAATTGGTCACCTGCAGGTGGGGGGTGCTGGGGAATGATTTGGGCGCCAGCAATCCAGGCTGCGACTCCCACCTGCAGACCCTCATTCCTGATCAACCGCGTATGCAGCACTTGCGAGCCTGCGCTCTACAGCTCCACAGCAAAATTATCATCAAGATTATGACAATGTAGTTCATTCTTGATGCCAACAGCAACAAACGCCGCACAGGGCCTGAACGCAGGCCAGCGCTGGGTTGGAAGGCGTACAGGATTATGTGGGAGTTTTCAACAGAGGGACCCCAGGTGCGCGTCGTGCTTGGACCCTTTGGAAAGTCAGACTGCAAAGTTGAATTGGTGTCACTCTCTGGTGGTGAGAGGGCATTTTCATACCACTTGTGGCCAGCTGCCAAGTTGGACAGCTGTCCGAGCGCCATTTGACGGTCAACGGTCTTGACTGCACCCACCTGCGTCCTGGTTGCGTGTGTTGCTCTCAATTGTTCCTACCTGAGACTACGTCATCATCCACGTGTGCCTTGACATCCCTGTACATGCATGTTTGCCCGTTTGTTGTCTCAAAGCCTTGCTGCTCTGTGCTGGCACGGCAACACCGCCCACACCGTGCACTTCCATCGCACTGTTGCAGGTGACAGTGGTCTACTCGGTTGTGCAGCTGTCGTTTCAGTGCAGTTTACAATACCAACACCCGAAGATTTCTCGCCACATCCAGTCGCTTCTGAACCGCGGACATGTTGCAGCAGCGGGTGAGATTATCTCACAGCAGGCCGCAATGAGCGCCCGTTTGCCTTGGCAGTCTCAATCAGGTCTCACAAATATCACGCAGGTTGTATCGGCACGCGCCGGTTGCGCCCAAACTGCATGCGACAGCAGGTGCGCCAGCAGTGGCGAGCGCGAGTGCGCACCGCCGCCACTGGTTTGATGAGCAGAGCGTTTGGTTGCCGCTACTGGCGCAGCATAGTTGACAACAGCTGTCACATAATTATCACTGCAGCAGCGTTTTATGGAGCTCTGCAAAACAAGCAGATAGTTGCACACTGGACCGTCACCCGAAAGACGCCTGTCCCTGCTTTCCCTCGCGGCAGGGCTGTCGCTGCGCGACCGGCACCGCGCAGACGCTGTGTGGTGCCTCGTATCCGCGCTCAGCAGCAGGATGGACCCTCAGATGCCACACTTGAGGCCGCGCCTGCCCAGCAGCAGCAGCAGCAGCCGCAGCAGCAGCAGCAGCAGCCCGTCGCATCGACGAGCAGCGGCGGCGGCAATGGCCTCCTCGCCGGCGGCGCCGTGGCCATGGGTGTGGTGGTTTTCGCCGCCTCCCGGCTGCTCGCGGGAGGGCCGTCCCTGGCCGCACTGGAGAGTGAGGCGGTGCCCCTGGACGTCGCTCTGAGCAACGGGCGGCCCACGCTCGTTGAGTTTTATGCCTCATGGTGCGCACCGAGCGCACCCGAGCGTGTGCCAAGGCGCCGGCCCGCGCCCGCGCGGTGGCGTGACCAATCCATTCTCAGGCGCGCGGCAGGGGACGCCGTGACGGTGAGGCTGTGAAGAGGACCGCAGCCGGGAGGACCGCAGCCGGGCGCACGCCTTGAGACATCCACCTAGCCCGGCGGACCCCACACGACAAACCGTGTGCTTGCCCACCCGAAGGTGTGACGTGTGCCGCGCCCTGGTGCCGGCCGAGGTCGAGCTGGAGCGCGCCTACAAGGACCGCGTCAATTTTGTGATGCTCAACGTAGACAATGCAAAATGGGCGCCAGAGGTCAGCAACAAGACACATGGGGAAGGGGCAGCACGGGGCATGAGCACGTCCCTGCTCAGTGCGGGCAGGCTGCACGGGCGGGATGCGGTGGCGGTGGCGCCTGTGCATGCTCCTGCATTGCGCGGGCTGTGCCTGGGGCGCTTCGAAATTCGCCCGGATTGCTTTGCGTACATCTACGCCCCGTTCCACTTTTGCATGCCCATCCTTGTCCACCCTGTTGCGCGAACGCACAAACGCGTTGGCTCGCCCCCCCCCCCCCCGCAGGTGATGGACTACGGCGTCAACGGCATCCCCCACTTTGTGTTCCTGGGGCCGGACGGCGAGCCCCTCGCCGCCGCGGTGGGCAAGGTGCCCACGCAGGTCTTGTCAGGTGCGCTCATGCATGCCGCACGTTTGTCGATTGCAGCCGCATGCGCGCGAACTGGCATGGCCCCTGCTCCTTGTGGTGCAGTGGCTGCTGTTCTGGTGGACTGGGCGCGACGACATGACGTCATCAATGCTGGCTGTTGCACCCCCATTACCTGTCTCCCTTGCCGCCACCTCAGCCAACGTGGACGCCCTGGCGGAGGGACGCGAGCTGCCCTACGCGCGCATGAGGGGCGCCACCTCGTCCCTTCCTGCGCCGGACGCCAGCTTTGGCGGCGCCCAGAAGCTGGCCAACCCCCGCGACCACGCGTGATATGAGTGCAGACGCCTGTGACTGCAGCCGCGGACAATGTGGCTGAGACGCTGGCCTAGCCAGTGCTTTGGCAGGCCGCTTCGGCAGTTGCTGAGAGGGTCTGTGCCTCAGAATGTCATGTCTAGCCTGCCTGCCAGGGCTGTTTCCGCAGGCCAAGCTCAGAGTGAAGTGTGGGATCGCCCGTGATTAAGTGAGCAGCACCCCCCGTCCTTGTTGTCTTCCATTGCAACGCAACAAAGCAAATCACCCGCCGCACGTCGGCAATCTTTCAGCCGCGCCAACAGCACCTCGCTTGCTGTGGAAAGTAGAGTCTTTGATGCAAGCGCCATCCGTGGCGACCCACTGTAAAAAGGAGCAGTCATGCCAAAACGTGCAGAGGTGCTAACCCAGGGAAAAGCACAGCGTTGTGTTTCCCTCACCTGGGCCACTAGTGGAACATCCCCGCAGCATTCACACTCTCCCTAACGGGCTCCCAAGGCAGCCGCACAGCAGCCGCAGCCTAGGCCGGCCGACGCAGCTGCGCGACACCAGGGCACGCAGCAGCGAGCCGGCTGATGCAGCATCCCTCGGCGCCGCGCCAGCGCGCGAGGTGACGTCACCTGTCATGGCTCCGCGTCCCAGGCGATGTCGACGCTCTGCCCCTCCACCCGATTGGCGTCCGACACGCGCACGCTCAGGCCCTCCGCCGACTGCAGCAGCGCCGCGGCGTGCTGCAGCAGCCGCGCGCAGGCGGACTCGAACTGGTTGTGGGTGATGAGGGGGTCCCTAGTCAGCCGCCGCAGCCGCAGCCGCCGCCGCACGCGGGCAGAGAGGTCCTCGACGCGCGCCTCTTGGCTACGCCGCTGCGTCAAGGCGCGCAGCGCCTCTGCGCCGCGGTCCTGTGCGAGCAGATTTGGGGCGACTCAAGGGTTCAGGATGAAAAAATTCTGACTGGTAGCTCCGCCCGCAGGGAACCAGTGGGTGTATGTGCGAGCTACGTGGCTCGTTTGATGGGTGGGTGGCGCAGTGGCGCCGAGATCTGAGAGTGACGTTTGGCGAGTAAGGGCGCGCAGGCTGCGTCACCACTCCAAGCACCAACCCTCGTCCCTCGTGCCCGCTGCCTTGCGGGCGCCCCTCCCACCTGCACAAATCCGTAGACTTGGTGGGCCTCTGCAGACACGGGCACTTGCAGGCAGCCCATCCCCTCGGACACCTCAAAGCCACTGCCCCTACCACTGCCACTGCCGCTGCCGCTGCCACTGCCGGCCGCACCGCCACCGCCGCTGCCACCGCCGGCCCCGCCCTCGGCACTGCTTTGCAGAGGTGCCACGTACAGCGGCAACTCAGAGAAGGGTGGCGGCGTTTGGGCTCTGCTGGTCCCCGGTTCGCTGCTGCTGCTGCTGCTGCTGCTGCTGCCAGGACTGCTGCGCGGTGCGCCCGCAGCCGCAACTGGTCCGTACTGCGCCGAGTGCTTGGCGAGCCGCTCAAGGAACAGCCTGTGGTGGCGGGGTGTTTGTTAGCCGGGTGGCGCAGCAGGCAAGGCCCATGCGAGGTTGGCAACATATGCAACAATTTGCACCATGCCCGCGACCTCACGCAGTGATGACGCGCCTGTGAACAACCTGGCTGTCAGCACGGCCACACCTCCCCTCACACCCGTTGCGCCCTCAACCATGCAACCCCTCCTGCACCTGTAGTCGGGGGTCATCGCCAGCGCCGCCGGCGCAAACACCATCCCCAGCCCCGCCGCGCCCGCCACCGCGCCCTCGAGCCGCCGCAGCGCCGCGGCGGCCTCGCGCCTCGACGCCGCGAAGCGCAGGTCGGCCCCTCCGAGGAAGTCGGCCCAGAACTCACGGTCTTCCTCGGACGCGTCCAGCCACAGGGTCCCGCGCACATCCATGACGGTCCTGCAAAGCGGGCGGCATCGGCAAAGATGCATGATGCGTTTTTTCGTCAGTGGGGTGACCACGGCTCAGTTTGTTGTCCGCGACGAGGTGGCTTGTGTGGCTGTTTCTGCGATGCGCACACATTTATGTCTGTGAGAAGGCTTCAACCACGCGTGCACCATGAGGACCCGAACACACAGCGCGAGCCAGGTTTGTGAACAAGCTGCCATGCTCGTTGACGAACCCTTGCAGAAGGTCAGGCAAGACGGGGGGGCAAGCACACCCAAAACTGCCGAACTCAAATGAGAGCCAATGCCCACTTTGAGCCGAACATGATGTGTGCGCCTGTGACGTCAGCCCCCTCCGTCGCCAGCTCGTCCAGCACCCGCGCCAGCGCCTGAGGTGGAGTTGGCCGGCGCGACGGATGGCGTGCTCAACATGATGTGTTTTGGTGTACAGGTGGCGGGCGCGAAGTTGAGGAGGCAGGCACACGGCATGACGGACCAATCGCCTGTAGACTGCCTCGCGAGTGCGACGCAGGCGTGGGCTGGCAGCGCAGCACGGAGGCCCCAACAAAGCATGGCCGGTGGGCCGGGTCCACCCCTGCTTGTCGTCAAACCATCCCCAATCATTGCTGGGGCACCAATCGTGAATGCAAGCAGTCTTTCCCACAGGAGCCGCAACGGGTGTATGCGCCCCTCCGCGCCGCTCGCCTGCAGCAGCTCGACCTGGCGCGGCCCCGGGAAGTCGCCGGGGCCAAACCCAACGACGACCTGGGGCAGGCAGGGTGCGGGTGAGGGGGCAAGATGCGTGGCGCACTGGGTCAAGCGCCAGGATGGAGCCATCAACCCCATCCCCCACAGTGCTGCGGAGTGCCGTGGCCGGCTGACGCGACGATGGGACCCGTCTCAGAGCGGGCGGGCGTGTTGTGCGAAGATGAGTGCGGCTTAGGGCCTGGGACCAGGCCCGTGCTCACCTGCCGTGCGAGGCGCATTGCGCCGCGCATGTTGGCAGCCTGCACCTCCCAGCCAACGCCGCCCGACTCTGCTTGCCGTACCACCTACGCGTGCAGGCGACGGAGGGCGGGCGCCGCCATTTGGCGATATGGGTGATGTCACGATGACGACGCAAATGATGGATGTTTCATCCATCACACCAGCCACCACGCTATCCTCCACTTCCACGAATCAGATTCAAACCATGTGAACGCCATACTGAAACATCACCAAACAATGCACAAATACTTCTCCAAAACCCCTGCGCTCATGGTGCGTGAACCCAGGAACCGCTTTGTCGCGGCACACACCACACACACATCCGCGCGCATGCCTGCATCAAGCTACCCCTCAAGGCCCCACGTGCACGCGGCCACAAACTTACATATGCAAACATGCACACCACACGCGCACACACACACACACACACACACACACACACACGTTCCACAAACACGCCCAAATGCAGCCACACACGCGCGCACACACAGTAACACACACAAAGACAATCTCTCACCCACTCACCTCGGCTGCCTCTGGTAGGAATACGAGCAGCCTCTGCCGCGCCGCCTGCTCCTCCTGTGTGTCTGCCAGGTCGGCGGTCAGCCCGCACATTCCCAGCAGCTTGGCAAGGGCTTTCTTGGTGGCCGCTGACAGCGCGCCGCCCCCGCCTGGGCTCGGCTCAGGCGGGGGAAGGGTCACCTCCGCCCGGGCCAGCGCTGCCCGAGCGACGGGCTTGGCGTCATCGCCCTCATCTGTGAGGACACGCGAAGGGGACGCATGGCTGTGTCTGCTTGTAGGGTATAATTATTACAAAGGAAAGCAGGGGTGCGGTGCATGGGGAGGCCGAGGCTGCTTGCATGCATCGCTGCAGGTTAACCGGCCATCCCCATGCAGCATTCACCTGTTGCATCGAAGTCCGTGGCTTCCGCGTCCTCCTGCGGCCTGAGGAAGAAGCGGAAGCGGTACGGCGTGCGCGCGGCGGGGCCGGCGTCGCCGGGCTCCCTCTTGGCGAGATCGAGGTACTCCTGGAGCAGCTGGAAGGAGCGCTGGTTCTCCGCCTGGGGACGCGGGTGAGGGCAGTGAGACAAGACAGGGGGGGTTGGGGCCAGCACGTGCGTGTGTATTGACAATCTGATGGGTTGGAGCCGGTGGGCGGAGGGAGGGCACGTGTTTATTGCCTTCTGGGGTGTGATGGCTTCCCAGCGGTGACTTCAAGGTTTGCCCCACGGCTGAGGATGCGTGGGGAGCCAGGGTCCGGCCCTCTGTGCGGCCGCGCGTCCCCTTGTACCTGCTCCGCCGGCCACTCCGTGAAAAGGTCAGGATGCACCTTCAAAAACAGCGATTTGATCGCGACCTTCAGCGGCAGAGCCGCGGGTGCTGCACCGCCTGCGTCGCCAGTGGCGCCGCTGCTCCAGAGTCGTCTGTCTTGAAGTTGCGATGACACGCACTGGGGCGCAATCCAGCGAGGCAATTCAATTGACAATTTTGCTATCAAGCACCGACCGCGGTTCATACTGCATCACAAGTCGCAGATCATCGAATCTTGGACACCATGGACGTGCTACCGCTGATGTTATAGTTTGGATGCAATCCCTACAAGCCTCACAACTACGGTACGTGGCTGCACAGCAGCACCCGAGATGCCGCCAGGCGTTGGAAGCTTGGATTTGGTGTAGGCGGGAATGCTTGCGCTCTGCTGTGGACTGCCGCCTCCGAGCCAGCCATTCCTGCTTGTTGGGTGCTGCGTATGGCAGTCGCGGCCTACCCGAGGAATCAGGGCCTGGGTCTCTGCCACCTGGCCGCACGCGGCGCCTTGACAAGGTCGGCGTCTGTGAGGCGCATTGCAGTCGCCACCCTTGCGGCAGAGACGCGTGCAATGAGGCTGGCCAGGCAGGTGGCACAGCTCTGCACACTGATATCTGGCATGCCAGTTGAGAAACCAGCACTCATTTGCTCGCCTGGCCGGTGCATCGGACTCGGGTGGAGCCGCGGTACCGCTCAGCAACAAACACGGCAGCAATCATGAGGGGCAATGGCAATCGCATGACATGGCAGTGGCAAATGAGGGGCAGCAATCGCGCGAAGATTGTTGCCATGGCTGATTAATGATCGTGGCCACCGTCGTTAGACGATGTTCGTGCGGCTGAGACGCTCGCCGTTGCTTGCAGCAGCTCCTTTTGTCGCCGCCTTTCCTTGAAAAGCTGCAGGCCGTGCGTTGTTGATCAGCCGTGCCATCCCGAAACAAAGCGGCGCATTGATTTTGTGATAGTGTGTTGTGCACACAACTTCAGAAGTGTCTATAGCCAGAGCAGGCACTGGCTCCTGCTGGTGTGCCTGCCTGGGGTGCCGATGTGGGGTGCCGATGCCTTCTCAGACCTTGCCAAACGCTCGCACGCGCCCCAAAAACCTATATGCGCCCCCCATCGGCCCCCCGCACGCCCCGCCGCCGGCTCTGACTGACACCCCCCCCCCCGGCCCCCGCCGTCCGAAATACGTTGCGGGTCAAGCAGTCAACCCTCGGTGCATGCGCATGCAAGGTCTTTTGCCAGGCATCCGGACCATGATAGCTTGTGACAGGAGGTAATTTATATGTTGTAACCCACGTTCTTGAAGTTCCTTCAAGAACGTGGCTCACGTACAGCGCTGCGTCACTGCCTGCTGTCTGGCACACCGGCCAACACCCAGTGACCCAGAACGCGATCTGGAAACCACCCAGCTACCCTCAATTGCACTGTCTCTTTGTATTCCCTGCTCCTCAGCCGAACTATCGCTGTCACGTTGGCGTTTGTGCGCTCCGGGCCCCGCCCAACATGCAGACTCGTGCGCTCTCCGGGAGGTGCGAATTAGACAGCGACAAGTACTTGCACTAGGGTGTATTGTCACGTCTGGCTGAGCAATGGGGCACGGCAGATGCACCCAACGTTTGCGTGTGCGTGCGTGCGTTGCGCACTTGAGCTGCTGCACGCGCTCGAGGGCAAAAGCGACGCAGCTGTCCAGAGCAGGGGCCTTGACATTGCATAATCACATGCGCGCCGCAGGCCCTCGGCCGCCCGCGCCTCCTGCCGCCCGTTCTCCGCCTCCCGCAATGGCCCGGCCCCGCGTGCCGGCGTGCTCGCGGCAGCGGGGCCCTCTGCCGCGCCACTGCCAGAGGCGCTGCTGTTTGACTGCGACGGGGTCATCGTTGATACAGAGAAGGACGGCCACAGGGTGTCCTTCAACGAGGCCTTCAAGCGCAAGGGTTCGTGCGGCTGCCTGGACGGTTGGGTCGGGCGGCCTGGAGGGTGCACGATCCTGGACAGTTGTGGGCGCGGTGGATAGCCGCAGCTGGTGGGGCTGCTGTGCTGATGGATTGGTTTAAGGATTGCACCGAGTGCCACGGCTGTTCCTGCACCTTCTCCTTCTGCTGCTGCTGCTGCTGCTGTATCCTCCGCCAAATTTCTAGGCGGCAGGTCAAGCGCCTATGCAGCGCGCACAGTTGCGCGTGCTTCACTCGAAGCCCTATCATCACCCAGACGCGGCGGTGTCGAATGACCTGTTTGTGCTCCTGTCCGCCGGCCGCTGGCGGTTGCGCGTCCAGGCCTTGACCATGATTGGGGTGTTGAGCTGTACGGGGAGCTGCTGGAGATCGGCGGCGGCAAGGAGCGCATGACAAAGTACTTCAAGGTGAGGTTGGGCTGGGGTGGGAGGAGCTTGAAGGCATGATTGAGGCAGTGCATGTGTATGTTCTTGTTGAGAGTTCACGGGAGATGACGCGGCGGCCAGGGATGCAGGTCAACAGCAATGGTTGCGTGTGCGTCATCGGGCAAGCCAGGATGAGCGTGCGTGCATAAGCCCACAACAGACGCACACGCACGCATCTGTCCGACCGCATCAAATTGGCATGTGACTGTGTGCGAGACGGGGAGGGCGGGTGTTGAAGTGTGCATTTGCAAGAGGGCGTGCGTATTTGGGTGGGTTTGGGTGGGTACGTGCGTCCACGTTGTGTGCGCTTGCCGAAAGCATGCGACCAGATGCAAGCACAGCGTCACATGCCAGCGCCGCCCAGGCACCATCCCGGGCGCGTGCCCCCCCGCAGCTCCCAAACACGCCCCAACCATCCCCTCCCCCACCAGCCGACCCCGCCTCCCTCTCCGCACACAACACTTGCGCACGCGACCCCTCCCCTCCTCACGCCAGGACGTCGCCGACCGCGAGCCCTTCCGCACCACGACAGACCCCGCTGCCCAGCAGGAGCTGGTGAAGGGCCTCCACCTGCTGAAGACCGACCTGTTCATGGACCTCGTGGAGGCGGGCAGCATGCCGCTGCGGCCGGGGGTGGCGCGGCTGGTCAAGGAGGCGGTCGCGGCCGGTAGGGGAGTCAGTCACCGGAGGGGCGGTTCTGAGTGCAGAGGAGTGGTCTGCAGGGGGGTTCCAGGGGCTTGTTGGAGGGGTTACAGGGGGTGAGCGTGCCTCGGTGTTGAGGTAGACGCAGGTTGAGGACTCAGAGTCGGGCGGCGGGGACTAGCGAATGGGTTTGAGGGTACAGGTTTGGATGTGAACGTGCGTGCATTCGCGTGCGCCCCCGCTCGCTCGACCCCCAGGCGTCCCCGTGGCGGTGTGCTCCACCAGCAATGAGCGGGCCGTGAGCACCATCGTGCGCGTGATGCTCGGGGAGGACGTGGCCAAGGTGGGGGTTGGGGTGTGGGTGGGGATGGAGGGGCGCGCAGCCCCGGAGTACTGGGGTAGAGCCGCCGGATTGAAGGGCTTTCGATGCTGCTGCGCTTGCCAGGACCAGCAGCAGACAACTCGCGCTGCGCAGCCCCCGGGCACCACCCTGCTTGGCGACAGCCACCAGGCGCCTCAGGCCCCCAGCGCCGTGTGTGAATGCTGCCCTGCCATATCATGCCTAGCTGGCTTCATGACACCAACTTGTGCAACACAATTGGGCTTACCGGGCACTTGCAATCCAGGTGATGCGTGTGTTTGCGGGGGACGTGGTGCCCAAGAAGAAGCCTGATCCGGCCATCTACCTGCTGGCGGCGAAGGAGCTGGGGGTGTCCCCCGCCAGGTGTGCTGCTTGGGGCCCCTGGTGCAGGGGTAGCCTTAGGTTTGCGCCGACCACTGCCTGTTCATAGGCCTCAAAGCGGCCATGTTGGCAACAAGCCAATCCCCAACCACAGGTTTGTGTGTGAATCACCTCCCGCCCCTCACACAACCTCCCAGTCAAGGGCGTCAACATAGCCGAAGCACCTCTCACACATCCTCAAAAGCACCCGTGCACGCCTTCCCCCCAAACCATGTGCAGGTGTGTTGTGGTCGAGGATAGCCGCATCGGCCTCAGGGCCGCCAAGTCGGCTGGCATGACCTGCATCGTCACAAAGTCCTCCTACACGCAGAACGAGGACTTCACCGGCGCCGACGCGGTGTTTGACTCGCTGGACGCCGGGGAGGTGACGCTGGCCAAGCTGTCGGAGCTGGCTGCGGCCGCGACGGCCGCCAACGCGGCTGCGTGACGGGTGGCTTGAGTGTGCATGTGTTCATGGGGGTGGGGTGCTCGACAGGTCACATGAGATTTGTGGCCTACTTGCTTGGCCAAATCAACGCTCTGGTTCAGGGCTTGGCAGTATTGCCGGCTGAGGGGTGCTGAGACTGTATGCTGGGCACCTGTCCGCCACGCTCGTCTCATCTGCACTGCACACTTACCTGGCTCTGGCGGCTGCCGGATCGCTCTTTAGGGGGGTGCATAGCTGTGCCAGCTGTGCCATTCTGAGCAAATGTCGCTCAGACCCTGGCGTGGTGTGAGTGCTGCTGCGGTCCTGCGTTTTACGCCCCTTATTTGTGCTGTGTCTGTTGTTTGGTGTTCTACAGAGGTCTCGAGCCCGTCTTTAGGCCGATTTTACAGCCGTGAGAGGTACTTGAGGGTTACAAATTCTGTTTCTTGTCTGCGGTGGTTGGCTGCTCTGTGTACTGCTGCCTGCTGAGGGCCAGGAAAGAAGGCGTCACAACAAGCAGCAAACTTCAAGTAGTACGCCATAAAGCCGAAGCGTTACATCAGCCAAACCAGTGCTGCTGATGATCTCCTGGTAGCGCCAGCCCCGGCCCCTCGCCCGCCTCCCCTCCATCACCTGCCGCCTCCGCCGCGCGCAACGCACCAGCAAGCCGCTGCTGCTTCAGCGTTATCAGCTGCACCGCCGCCATTGCGGCCTCGACCTCGCGCCTCGCCTCGGCCCGCGCCGCCTCCGCCTCCCACTGCGCGCGCTCTGCAGCCGCCGCCATCTCGTGGCGCTGAGTCAGCACCTCGGCCTGGAGCCTGCCGCACTGCGCGGCGCGGTCGTCGAGCGCCGAGGCGGCGGCGGAAGCCGCGGCGCGCGCCTCGCGGGCGGCGGCCTCTGCGGCGGCGGTGGCGCTCTTCTGCTCGCGCAGCGCCCTGCAGTGGCGGCCACGGGGAGGGCAGTGGTTTGATGGTCGTGCCCTCAACAGCTGAGCTTGATTGGCATTCCTGGCAGCTCAAAATACCTGCCACCAAAAATTTACTCAGACCCTCTGCTACAGCTGAGCGTGCTGCAGTGTGACGCCTCTTCAGGTGCGTTCCCGGTGCAATCCCAGTTCCCAGTGCCAGCACACAACTTCTGTGGTGCCCACCTGTGCAGCTGCTCCAGCTCAGCCTGCAGCGCAGCTGCCTGCCGGCGGTACGCCTCTGCCTGCACGCGCTGCAGCGCAGCGCCCGCCTCGCCACCCTGGTCCCTGCCGCCCTCAGCGCCGCCGCCGCCCACACCAGTGGCCCTGCTAGGCGCCGCTGCGCTGGCCCTGAGGGCGGCGCCGTCTAAACTGACATTACCGAGCGCCGCCCCGCCACCAGAGGGCGGAAGGCATGGGCCCCCACCCTGTTCCGGTGCTGCTGCTGTCGCTGCTGTTGCTGCCTCCGGACCATGCGAATGGCTCCCCAAAACGGCCGCCAGCCGCGCGGCCAGGTGCCCCCGCTGCGCCTCCAGCTCGGACACCGCGTCCAGCAGCCGCCGCCGCTGCTGGTCCCCCGCGCGCCGGGCCTCCAGCTCCGCCCCCGCCCTCTCTGCCGCCATGCGCTCAATCAAGGCGTCCCGCTCCGCCTGCCACCTGCCCTTCGCCTCCTCGAGCTGCCGCCGCCCCTCCAGCCGGGCGTCCAGCACCGCCGCAGCCCTCGCCTGCTCCCCCGCCTCGGCGGCACGCGCGGCGTCCGCCGCGGCAACCCGCGCAGCCTCCGCGGCGCCGCGCGTGGCGTCGTCCAATGCGAGGGAGAGCTGTGCCGCGCGCTGCTGCAGCGCCTGCGCGCGCGCGTCCGCGCTGGCGGCCTGGTCGCGCAGCCTGCGGGGCGGGGGTTGACGCGGGGCGCTGTGGTTGTGCGGAGCAACGAATTGCGCCGCGCGGCGGCGCTGCACTGCGCTTGGCTTGCACCACCGCCACTGCAGCAACCTCTTGGTTTTCATGCGTCTGCGGCTTCACGCAACCACAGCATCGGCCCACCTGCTGCCCCACTCCTGGTCGGCCTGCTGCTGCCGAGCGTCCGCCTCCCGCTGCACCTCGTCCACCCGCCGCCGCGCCTCCGCCGTCGCCGCCTCTGCCGCCCCCGCCGCCGCCTCGGCCGCGCCCGCCCTCGCCGCCGCATCGGCGGCCCGCGCCTCGGACTCCTGCAGCCGCGCCTGCAGCGCCTCTTCCCGCTCGCGGGCCGCCTCCAGCAACGAGCTGCTGACAGCCTCCGCCGCCAGGCGGTCCGCCGCTGCGTCGGAAGCCCGCAGCCGCCACGCCTCCTTGCCAGAGGCGTCCGCCGCCGCCAGCTTCCGGCCGGCATCTTCCAGCAGGCCCTGCATCTGCTGCGCTTGCTGCTGGGCGGCCTTGAGCTCTAAGACCAATTTCTGCTCCCTTACACGGGTGTCCTCATCTCTCAAAGCCCCCTGCAGCAACAGCTGCTGCAGCGCCACAGCCGCGGCCGCCACAGCCGCCTGCGTGAGCGGCTGCGCCACCGCTTCCTGCGGCGCCTTGCTGGCTTCGATGGCGGCCGCCGCGGCCGCCGCGTCGGTGGCGCCGGCGGCGTCTGTTGCTTCGCTTGTGGTAGCGGCCGTGCCAAGGCTTGCCTGCTTCAGGAGCGGCCTCAAGACCTCCGCTGCTGCCTGAGCCTCGATCGCATCCCTGCAGATGAAGGGCCAAGAACAAACTCAATTAGAAGGGGTAGGCTGCTTGCAGCACACACAAGCAACCACGATCTTGATACACACGCTTGCTGCAGATCAACACACTGGTGACTGGGTCAGAGACAGCCGAGGTGCGCTGCACCTCGCCGCTGATGCGACTGCGCCCGCCCATCCCCGTCAGTGCGTCCCGCTTGGCGTCCCGTCACCTGGCAGCCAGCTCGGCCCTGGCCATCTTGAGCTGCTCGCCCAGCCGCAGGGTTGCCTGCGCCTGGTCTGCCAACCGCTCAGCGTGCCTGCGGGCTGGATCGGGGG